CATCCATTTTGGTCTTTTCTTCTTCCTTCTTAGTAATGACTTTTTGCATTCTTCATGAATGACATTCTTGATGTCATCCCACAGCTTATCTGGTCTTTGTTTATTAATGTTCAAGACTTCAAACCTATTCCTGAATTGGTTATTCATGGAAGATAGGTTCAAGGTCAAATTTTGATTCCTGTGGATATGATTTAACCTTCTTTAGTTTTAATTTGAACTTGCATGAGTTCAGTTGATCACCTGGCCTAGTTTTTACTGCTAACATTGAAATTCTCCAATGGTTCCTTCTACAAATGTAATCAATCTGATTCTTGTGCATCCCACCAGGTGAAATCCATGTGTATAGCTTGCATTTATGTTTCTTATAAAAGTTATTTACTATTAATAAATCATTGATTATACAGAATTCTATGATCCTATCCCCAGCCTCATTTCTGTCATCAAGTCTGTATTTTCTGACTACTGGAACTTCTTTCTTCCTGACTCCCAAATTTTGCATTCCAGTCACCCATTATTATTAAAGAATCTTTTTAGTTGGGGAAATGACTGAAACCATCAACGGCTTCATTTTACTTTAATCCACAATCGATACCTTTTCTATAGCAGTCAGGAGATCATGAAATTGCTTTCGGAAAGTCTGATGTCAGGGATGTAGCTAATTTACTGAGAGGAACAGTGATGCCAGTTTGAAACATAAAGTGTACATAAATCAGGACATGACCTTTTCAATCACTTGTCATGAATTTGAGAGCTGTGCAATGAAGAAAGATGATAGAGAAAGGAGTCATGTCTTTCAGCTGTGCTGCTGAAGACTACTGAATATCCCACGAGAAAGCACAACCAGAGTGCTTCTTGGAGGCAAGGTTGATGACGCTTTGTCTCACATATTTTTGGTCTTCTTGTTAGGAAGAGTCCATCCTTTAAAAATCACAGCATGCTTAGAAAGGTGGAGGGTCAGTGAAAGAAAGGAAGATCCTCAAGCACAGGAACTGACATAGTGACTGCAGCAGTGGACGCAAGTTTGACAGATGATGAGGAAGTCACAGGGTAAAACAGGGTTCAGATCTGCTTTTCATGGGGTAGTTATGAATCGTATTTGGAAGCACATATCTACACCATATAATTTAAAGAATACTGGCAAAATAGCTATTTCTTTGTTGTATACTAGAATGTTACTGACTTACTCATACCAAAGCAACCAATCAGCAAAATAGAAATTATTCCTGGCCAGACCTTATTATAAAGGGGGGGGATAAAAATATGCATAACTTATGCAAATAACTTCTACATTAAAACTTAACTAGAAGCAATCATTATGGTATGAGTTTCTTCAGATTTGAGCTTTTTAAACAATTTGAAGCATTGCATTATTATATACATAAAACTCTATTGCAAAGACTCATCACTTACATTAATTACTTAAGATCTGTCTTAGGAAAAAAATAGTTAAAAGTTGAATTTTAAAAGTAACTGAAAATATTCTGGGAAGAGTACACATGAAAAAAGTGCTTACTGTTGCAAAAAGGAACATTTAGGTATGCTAAATATTATAGTAATTGCATGCAAAGTGAACAGCGTTTACTGAATGCAACATTTTTCCTGTTATGCACACCTTTAGCAGCTTGAAATTATGTACAAAATAAGATTGTTCTGGACAAGGTCAGTTGTGTCTGTGTTAATAAAATAGAAACATTCCTTTAAATGAGACAAAATCAACATAAAAGTACTATACTAAGGATTATAAAATAGAAAAAAATAGAAAAGAAAGATTTGAAATCAGCTTGACTTGCAAAGCAATAACAGCACACTTATGAAACTAGAATGATAGTAATTGTTTTGAAAGAAAGAGTAACCTCTATTTCTGGAGGTGAAAATCATTATAGATTTACATATCAGTTTAGTTTGACCTCTAAGAATGTATTTTTACATAGCTGACTTTGTAAATTCACTCAGGTTCATGAAGTCTTCATTTAGTTGTATGTTCACAATAGTACTTAAAGTAATTAGAGCTTCAGGGTCAATTCAGGGTCAGAAGAAAATCAAGCCAGTGAAGATTATTACCTCAGCTCAACTTAGATTAAAATTATTTATTTTCTTTAGAATCAGGATATACTATGGCAGAGGCTCAGCAAAATTAAACTTTTACAAAGATAAGACAACATGCTCTATTTTGTTACATATTTCATTTTCCCTCTCAAAACTAGGATTATTTTATTTTTACAGTTTAGCTTGTGACATGCAAAACAAAACAAGATCAAATGAAACTTTAGTACTTTAATTTTACTATATGCCTCTTGCTGCTAAAATTCTACCTAAAACCATTTCTACTGTGGCAACATAGGCATCTAAATGAACCATAGTTCACATGGCAATCATACTTTGAAAATAATGCTCAAATTTGAAATCAAGATGACTTAATTTGCTTAATCAAAATTTAAAACACTCTTTAGCTTTAATTTACTTATTCAGTGAAAATGATCTTTTTCTTTTTTACTTCACTCAATTTCTTGTTTTATGGTAATAGTGAAATTTACTAAATGGATTGACACAATGTCTGCAGCAATGAGCTTAAGTGTGTCCGAAATAATGCAATGGCACGGGATAGAACAATATTCAGATCTGTTCCTCATAGGGTTCCTATGAGTCATACTTCCACAGCAGTGAACAATAGCATGTGTCCTGAATTTTTATAATTTACTTTATTATTTTGTGTGTGTGTGTGTGTGTGTGTGTGTGTGTGTGTGTATATACCGTCAAATCGGATTTGACTGGTACAGACGAGACTGCCTCTCCTTCTCCAGCAGAGCATCTGGTGGATTTGAACTGTGTACCTCTGGGACTGCAGTGCAGCTTCTTGACAATAGGCCCCCAAAGCACCCCTTTACTTTGTTTTTCTAAGGTTTAGTATTTTACACTAAATATAATGAAACAAAGAAACAGTTATAAAATTCTTAGTTTTTAAATTTACATATTAAATGTTCTCATCAAAATTTTGTTGTTGTTGTTGTTGTTGTTGTTATGTGTGATTGAGTTGCTTGTGACTCATAGTGACTTTATGGACAACAACCTTAAACCTTGCTCTATCCTGTGCCAATTTCACTGTCTCCGACACACCTACCTCCATTACCCCAGTCACTGAATCAATCCACCTCATAGAGGGTCTTCCTCTCCTGTGCTGTCCCTCCACCCTCCCAAGCATGACGTCCCTTTACAAGAACTCATCCCTCATTACAACATGACCAAAGTATGTCAGACAAAGCCTCAGAATCTTTGCCTCCAAGGAGCAGCCTGGTTTAACCTTCTCTAGGACTAGCTTGTTTGTTCTCTTAGCAGTCCATGGTATATTCAACACACTTCTCCAGCACCACAACTCAAAGGCATCAATTCTCCTTCTATCCTCCCTAGTCATTGTCTAGTTCTCTGATGCATAGCAAGTCATTGCAAAGGCCAGTGTCAGGCACACCTTAGTCTCCAGACTGACATCATTGCTCTTCAATACTTTGGAAAAGTCTCTGATAGCCAACTTTCTCAATGCAATATGTCTTTTCGTTTCCTGGCTGCTCGTGCCAAGACTGTTGATTGTGGAGACAAGCAAACTAAAGCTGTTTTCAATCTCAGTCTCTTCACTATCCATCACAATGCTGTCAATCAGCCCAGTGGTGACAATCTTTGTTTTCTTGATATTGAGCTTCAATCCATATTGAAGGCTGCAGTCCTTGATCTTCCACAGTAAGCACTTGAGGTTTTCCTCAGTTTCAGTAAGCAGGGTTCTGTCATCTGCATAATGCAGAATGTTGATGAGTCTTCCTCCAATCCTGATACCACATTTCTCTTCATAGAGCCCAGCCTATTGGATAATGAGAGGACATAGAGATAGGACATATCCCTGGCATACACCCTTCCCAATTTTGAACCATGAAGTGTTCTCTTGCTCTGTTCTGACAACTGCCTCCTGATCCAAGTGTAGGTTTCACATAAGCATAATCAAGTGTTCTGGGATTCCTATTCTTCTCAGAATTAGACACAGTTTGTTTGTTGTAGTCCGCACAGTCAAATGCCTTTGCATTACCAATGAAACAAAGATGCACATTCCTGTGATACTCCTTGCTTTCAACCAAGGTCCAGCTAACATTAACTACAATATCCACATTAGCTACAATATCCCTCGTACCACAGCCTCTTCTAAACTCAGCCTGCATTTCTGGAAGTTCTCTTTTTATGTACTGTTCATCATTTTTAAGTAATATTCAGCAGAATTTTGCTTGCAGGTGATATAAATGGTATTGTTGCTGTATAAATTAATCAATGAAACTAGATAATATGAAAAACTGGATAATATGAAAAATCTTTCATGAAGATGGATGGAAAAGTTTCTACCATCTACAGTATGCAGATGATACAATGTTTCTTGTGAGAAAATAAAGGCTTTAAGTACAGACTACAACCTTTCATCAAAGACTACAGCCTTCATTATGGATTACACCTCAACATCCAGAAAACAACAATCTTCATCATGCAACCAGTACAGGCAGAGACAAAATTGAAGTTATCAAAGATTTCATTTTACTTGGAGCCACAGTCAACACCCATGGGAACAAGAATAAAAAAATCAAATAATGTTGGACATATTTGCTGCCAAAGATGTAGTAATTTTGAGGTTTTGGGATTTGTTTTGTTTTTAAACAAGGCTTTTAATTTAAGCACTTGTAAATGCAGAGATGACAGGGTATTTTTCTTACCTCATTTTGCTTTTATGCACATGTTAGGAGATTTTTAATTGAGCTGGCTATCACGCAAACTTCTTCGCATCCACCTAGAAACACTTGTGGTATACAATCGAGGAGCTGAAGTCATTCCTTCATGCTTATGCACGTATCTCAGAAGGTAGACAGAGAGGCCAAAAAGGAGGAGCCCATCCACATGAAGTATCTGCGCTCTGGAGGAGCAATGATCTTGATTTTTACACTCCTGGGAGCCAGTGCTGCCATCTCCTTCATCATTCACTCTGAGAAGCCTGCGTACATGGTGGACCCACCAGAAAGCACCGCATTCCTGTAAAGTTCCTTGCAGATATCGATGTCACAACTTTGAATGGATTTTATGGCCATTTTATGTAGGCCACAAGCCTCCATGCCCAGGATGGGGGGCTGGAAGAGCATCTCGGGGCAGTGGAAACATTCACTGTGAATGTGGATGAGCTGCCCATCTGGCAGCTCATAGCTTTTTTCTAACAAAGAGGGGCAGGCCACAGTGGCCATCTCCTGCTCGTAGTCCATGACTACATAATAAAAAGTTTCTTTGATGTCACGCACGATTTCCCACTCATCAGCTATTAAGAAGCAGTAGCCTCTGCATGGTGGAGGAGACCTGGGGGAGGGTTTGTAAAACAATGAAAGAATCTTTTCTTTTACTTTTCCATAATTTCTGGACTCGTGTACTTATAACTTGTTAGTCAAATTTGTGTCTTCTAGGTTGCAACACCCCCATGATACATCTTCAAGGATATGAACATGTACGGCCAAGCCCAATCAATAAGAGTGCATCTAAATTCCAAAATCAATCTCCATAATAGTCTATGTGTTTCCTACTGCCAAAGGGGCCCTTTAGAGTAGTGAGAGAAGATCTTCACCCTGAAACCCACATCATCCCTTTTCAGCAGGAAGTAGCTAAGAGAATACGCCATCCCTTTTTCCTTATGACTCAGGGTGAAGTCTCTCTCAGGGAGGAGTGATAGGGAATGGCAAAGGACACACTGACAAAGAAGATTAATCAGAACTGGCTTTGACAAGCACTGTGGCATTTGGACAAGAACAAACTGGGAGGACGGTAGAGAGAATAGTGCAACAATGAATGAATGGAAAAAAAAAAAGAAGCGGTAGCCTCGTTCCCTGAGGATCGTCATCAGGTGGTCAGTCAGGTTCCTGCCTGCAAGGTCAAGGTGCTGGACAGTGTGTGGCAGAGCGTGACCCTCGTAAACTGGAACTACATGTGTGACCCCATATCCAGAATCTACCCTGATGCCATTGGTGCGACCAGAGGCTAACAGGGACATCACGGCCTGGATTGCCACATACATGGCGGGAGTATCAAAGCCCTCAAACATGACCTGGGTCAGCTTTTCTCTATTAGGCCTGAGGTTGAAAGGGGCCTCGGTCAGCAGCAAAGGATGCTCTTCAGGGGCTACACGAAGCTCACTGTAAAAGATGTAGTGCCAGGTGCCAGACCTTCTCCAGGTCATCCCAATTGGTCACTATGCCATGCTGGATGGGGTACTGGAGGGCCAGGATGCCTCTCTTCCTCTGGGCTTTACTTTTCATGCTAAATGTACTGATCACCACATCTAATAGGCAAACTGGCTGTATGGTAATCATAGGATCTTTTGTGTTTATTGTTTATTATTTAATCCAACCACTTGAATGGAATGATTTATCTAGTGCTGTATCAATAATCTAGTTGTGTTAAGAGGCTTAGAATCTTTATTTCTTGATGCCTAGATGATCCTTCATGCATGTATATAATACTGTCTCTTGTCACTACTTAAAGGTCTTCAGTTGTAAACTTAACTACAATTTTTCTTGGAGTAATGCAAAGAAGTAACTAAAAGAGAGAAAAAATTCTTACCCTTTGGCCTGTATAAGAGTTTTATATAAAACTCTTATAGCCAGCATTTCTTATGAATATAATGTTTAACTTAGGGGTCAATTTAGTTATAAACCTGGGATTTTAGTTCAGAATTTTAAATGTTTCAATTAAAATTAATTTACTTTATAAACAGCCATAAAATCTTAATGAGTAATTTGAGAAAAAAAATCACTTTACAGTTTAACTTTTAAAAGATATGGGTGAAAGGTGTGCATCAGGGCTGTATCTTTTCTCCATACCTATTCAATTTGTGTGCATCCTAAGTCACTCAAGAAGCTGGACTATATGAAAAGGAATGTGACATTTGGATAGGAGGAAGACTCATAAAAAAGTTGCATTATGAAAATGACAAAATCTTGCTTGCTAAATGTGAGAAGGACTTGAAATATTTGCTGCAGAGGAATTAAGACCACAGCCTTCAAGGTGGATTACATTTCAACATCAAGAAATTCACGACTAGGGCCAATAGGTACCATCATGATAAAAGGAGAAGATGGAGACAGAAATTTTCAGTTGCTTCATCTTTTTGCTTGGATTAATAATCAATATCCTCGGCACTAGCAGCCAAAAGTACCAAAAGACATATTACATTGGAAAGACTTCTATCAGGGACCTCTAGAGATGGCTGAAGAGCAATGATAGGGATTTGAATACTAAGGTGCTTCTGGTAGAAATCATGATCTTTTCAATTACTTGATGTGCAGCTGAAAGTTGAACAAAGAATAAAAATGACAGAAGAATCTATGACTTTGAGTTGTGATGCTAGGGAAGAAGATTGAATATCCCATGGAATACCAAAAGAACAAGCAAATATGTCTTGGAAAAGGTACAGAAAGGGTGCTCCTTGGAGACAAGGTCAGTGAAATTTTGTTTTACATATGTTGGATATGTTATTAAGAGGGGCCAGTCCTTGGGAAAAGAACATCATGCCTCGAAAGGTGCAAAGTCCAAGAAGAAGGGGAAGATCTTCCATGAGATTGACACAATGACTTTAATGGTGGGCTCAGGGATGTTAGAGATGGTCAGGATAGCACAGGATAGAACAGGGTTCAGATTCATTGTTCATAGGGTGTCTAAATTTGTAGTTCACATAAGGGCACTTAACAACAACACCACGCATGGACCAGCCACTTTGTCTTTGGTATACTGATTTTAATAGTAAATTTACATTGACAACATTGATTTCCTCTTACTCCCATCTGAAACCCAGTAGTGATACCAAGAGCATAGTGAAGCACTCTAGTCTCAGCAAAGTTACAACTGTAATTTAGCTACTGCTTCTGTGATATCTCCGAAATACTGTCTCATATCTTTCCTTGTCTTTCTGTTTCTTCTTAAAACTTTGACTTTTAACTAAAAGTATGATATCAACAGGGCACAACAACTGTTCTATCACCTCATTCAAAATAAATTGCCATTTTAAACATCTTCAAGACAGAAATGTGAAAATTGTAAGTGTAATATAATGTAGTATGTGAATTAATTTATTTATGAATATATAAAAGGAAAATATCTAGGAAATAAGTCCAATGAAACAAAGTTTTCTCAGTTTAAAGAGATCAGTGTGTCAGTTTATCAGAAAGACTTCTTATAGAAAAATTGTCAAATCTGCTTAGATAAATTACAGTATTTTTAAGTCCCTAGATGTAGAAAATGATGTTTTTACTGCTTTTCTAAATCCAGGGGATACAGTGTTTATGGTTTCCTAAGGCTTGAATTAATTCCTCATATTGTACATTTTCAACACTCTCACCCAAAATGATCAATCATCCTTAAAAATCTTCAAGGTCAAAAGAGAGGACACTATTCTACAATATTTCATTTTGATGCCTGTTATTGTTCTATAACTTTACATAAATTCTTTGCCTTTAAATTCAAAGATGTCTGACAGTGAAATACAGATTCAAAACTTGTAGGACTGACCATTTTTTCAGGATACTTCTTGTTGGAAATTAAAGAGTACAAATCATAAATAAATCAAATGAGATAGAATTGTTACACATATATACTATGAACTTTGATAAATGTCGAGGGTTGTAGAGGGCCTTCAGGCTTTTGTTCATGGGGCCACTATAAGTTATGCTCGACTCAAAGGCAAGCAACAGCAACAACAACAACAACATTAGCAAGAAAAAAATACAGCCAAGCACAGATATTATAATTAAAAGTTATTGGAGAGTGATTGGAGGGAAATCTGTAAGTCATCTGATAATAAAGTGCTAAATAGCTTGGCTTAATAGTTGTTTATCCTCTCTTAGTAATGTCTCTCATATACTTTCATTGTCCTTCATTGGCTAGAATATGTACTTTTTATCCAGAAGGGGCCAGTCCTTAGAGAAGGACATTATCCTTGAAAGGGTAGAAGGTCAGCATAAGAGAGAAAGACCCTGGATGAGATGAATTGACACATGACTGTGGCAATGAGGTCAGGTGTGTCAACAATGGTGAGACTGGCAAGGTTCAGAGACATTTCTCATAGAGTCATGAGTTATAGTTGACTCAATGGCACATAACGACAACTAAACAAGCTCTTTATTTCTCTAGAGTTTAGTACTGTACCTGGTATGTATCCTTAAATCTTTGTTTAGTCAATACAAGTATCTGGAGGGAACTATTTGGTAAGGAGAGATTGGTAAAGAATAATTAAACTGCCCTACAATTAATATTCCCTAGATATAAGTTTGTATCAAAAGGATATTTCCAACATGACTCTGCTGCATACTACAAAGAAAGAATTTCATCCATTTTCTCTCTATAAAACATTGCAGTACTATGTAGGACATGAATTTTAAAAAATATTGTCTTAATAAACAAGTTTGGAGTCAATGAAGATATAAACTTTGTTTCTGAATGGGAAGGTTAAATAGTCGATATCATTTAATTTAATTCTAATAGTTATCTCAAAATGTCCTTTATAGTACTTTTAGTATCTCATTAATTACTTCAAAAGTTATTTTTTAAAGAAAGAGCCAAAGCTGCAGATAGATTAGATTAGAAGAGAAAAAAGTTTCTTTCTCTTAAATATGCATTGCTTCACAATATTAAGAAAATAAGATTCTCACCACCAGGCCAATATATAGCATCACGATAGATGGAGTAAAGGTTGGAGTTGTTAAAAATTTCATATTTTTAGAGCCACAATAGCCAGAAAAGCAAAAGATAAGTTTCAATGGGAAAATCCAAGGTCAAGAATCTCTCCAGAGATTTAAAGAGCAATGATATTAGTACAGAGACTATGATGTGCCTGATTCAGGCCACACTCTCTTCAATTGTTTGCTATGTACCCGAAGGTTGAAAAACGACTAAGGATGAAAGAAGAATTGATGTCTTTGAACTGTGGTTCTGGAGAAGAGTATTGAAGAGACACCATGAGTACCAAGAGAACAAACAAATCTGTCCTTGGAGAGGGTGAAACCAGGTTGCTCCTTGGATAAAAGAATTTTAAAACTCTATCTCACATACTTCCAGAAAATTGTCAGGAAGGACCAATCCTTAAAGAAGAGCATCATGACAGGAAGGATGGAAGGTCAGTGCAAGAGAGGAAGATCCTGGATGAAATGTATTGACACAGTGACTATGGCAATAGAGACAAATGTGTCAGAGAGAGTAAGACAGGCTCAGGATAGGACAAGGATCAGAGTCATTGTTCATAGAGCTTCTGTGAGTCATAGTCACATTGATGGCACATAACAACAATATCAGATACAAGGAAGATTTAGTGGCCTACTGGTAATGAGCTGTGCTGCCAACCTGAAGGCATGTGGTTCGAATACACAAACTATTCAAAGGAAAAAAAAGACAATTCCCCCTTTCCCTACTATTTACTGTCTCTGTGTTGATTATGACTCTACAGCACTTAACAATAAGCAATACCATATATTAAACATATTTAACCATAGATAAAAGATAGCCAAAATGGTTCAGCACACTGTTTAATCCACAGATTAAACAAACAAAAGAAATAGATTTATTATCAGCTTTATTAACACTGGTGTGTTAGAGTAAGCTGTATTTATAAGAACGTGAAGGTTACCTTCCTTTAGGTGAACTGTGGTATCAGCACATAATTACTTTGATAGAAAAATCACCATAAAGAAACAATAGTTTTAAAGCATCAGTGGACTAGTCTCATACATAGACACACATACACTTTGTGAAAGAGTTCATCAAACTAACTTACCAAGTCATACCCTCCTCTGCAGTGTTTCGTTATTATTCTGAGAAAGCTTTCTGTAATATTATAGATATAGAAGGTACTTATCTGGAGACATATGTTTGTGGTTAGGTTTTCTTAAAAAATAATTTTTTATTGTGATATTAGTGAAAATGTACAGAAAAGTTGGATTTTTCATTCATTCGTTGTTGCACATTTTTCTCCTTAACCCTCCCACGGTTCACTTTGTTTTCAATATTAACTGCTCACAAAGTTCATATGCATTGTATTTTACACTGTTCTCCATTCATATTGTGTTTCATACAATCATTCCCATGCATTATGTTTTATAAAATCAATCACCATTGGATCTTATTCATAATGACCCAATCTTTTCAGGTCCCTGCTGGATCCTTTCCATTTCATTCCCCCTCCTTCTTCCA